GTTGATGTTTGAATTGCCATACATCTACTTGATGAAGGAAGTGATGGATTATTTAAATATAAAGACATGATTCTGTTTTTTCGTTTTCATAATATTTTTTTGTCATTGTAACTGACGATTGCAATGAAAAGAAACGATACAACTACTTGTCCTCCATGTTTCTACGTGTTTTTTTAAAAATGTGGGATCTTTGAAAAGTCTATAATTTTATTAAAATATTTTATTCATTAAGCATATGATTGTTATTACTTTCTATAAGTATCATTATTTAGCATTTAGAACTCGAAATGTCATTGCCGCAAATACCAAATCTTTTCATTGCTCTTGCCTCTGTGCGCGATCTTTTCATTCACGGTCTTCGTAGCATTTTTTCTTAAGATTCCTTAATAATATTTTTCTCCAATCTTGATCACGGTTTATTCAGCGGGTAATATTTCTTCTATGTTAAAATGTTTCTATTTTATATAAAAACTGGTAGAAATTCTTTATATAAGAATAAATATTATAATAAATAATATTTATTATTATTTTATTTTATTTTTATATGTATAAATATTATAATAAATAATTATGAATTTAATAGGATTTAATAATTGTATTGCCTGCAATAATTTACAAAAAAAAATGATTATAAGATACATCACAGAGAAAGAATAAGGCCACACTGTAGAATAGATTAGAAGCAGCTGAAAAATTCCGTTCAAAAGCAAATAAATCATTGTTACTTTTTTTTTGTTTTCTTATAAAATGTACTTGATTCATAAAATATTTAATACGTTCATTGATTTTTTTTTTTATATGTTTTTATATTAAATATCAAAAAATATGTATCGACCACAAGGCATATAAAAAAATTATATTCCTAATTGTAATATTTGTGTAATTAAGGAACTTATACGAATTTTATAATATAATATAATGAAAAAATTTTTAAATAGAAGAAAAACGACACCTTTTTTACAAAGACAAACCATACTTTCTATTATTTTTGCAATAAAAATAATATAACTTACTGTAGAAATATAGAAAAATAATATAATAACAATATTATATAATAAATTATTTTTTTCGTGATACTACGCACTCGTGCGAGTCTCTCGAAACTTGCTTTTATGTAGGTTTCACTTATAATTTGTGTGATCTACACACGTAATATTTCTTCTTATCAATTTAATCATACTGACCTTGGGCTACAGCAACGCTTGGCAAGGCACAGCTATAACCTATGAAATCGTAAAATTTTTTTTTTTATTTTATTTATATAAGTATAATTTTTTTAATGATGTATAAATGAACGTTATTTAAATTAGAATATACTTATAAATTAAAACTTTATTAAATATAAATAATAT